GGAAAAAATAATGTGTATCTTTTTCTTTAATGAAGATTTCTTTTTTCCTAAGATACTTAGACTTCGCACATAATAAAAAGTGAGTTTCTGCCCTAAGAAAGCCTGTGTACACGTGGAGAGGCAGAATCCTTACAGACATCATTACCAAGGTAGGCAAGTCAGATAAATTGCAGAGGCCATAGCAATCAGTGAAGGGGTCTCAGAAATCAAATTTGGAGGTATCTGGCTGGTTCAGTGAGTGAAACATGCAACTCTTTGATCTTAGGGTTGTGAGTTTGGGCCCCACATTGGGTATAGAGATTACTTAAAAATAAAATCTTAAAAAAAAAAAAAAACAGATTTGAACTAGCTTAAGACAAAAAGCAAATTTACAGACCCATACACAAAAGGTCCAGAGGTAGAATTTAGCCTCAAACAAAGGTCGACAAACACGTTCAAAGAGAACTGCGCTAGTTTACATGGATGGTTCAGATAATAAATCAGCTTTATTTCTTCCAAATGTCTTCTAGGACAGATAAAATGGTACTTTTTTTTTTTTTAAATCACTTTATTTATTTATTTATTTTTAGAGTGTGTGCGCATGCATGCGAACAGGAAAGAGAAGCAGAGAGAGAATCCCAAGCAGGTTCCATGCTCAGCATGGAGCTCAATGCAGACCTTGATCCCACAACCCTGGGATCATGACCTGAGCTGAAATCAAGAATTAAACACTCAGGCCGCCTGAGTGGCTCAGTCAGTTAAGCATCCGACTTTGGCTCAGGTCATGATCTCATAGTTTGTGAGTTCGAGCCACGTGTCAGGCTCTGGGTTGACAGCTCAGAGCCTGGAGCTGCTTCGGATTCTGTGTCCTCCCTTCACTCTGTGTCCCTCCCCCACTCACGTTCTGTCTCTCTCTCTCTCACACAAAAATAAACAAACATAAAAAGTTAAAAAACCAAAAAGGATCAAACATTCAACTGAGCCATCCAGGTACACCAGTACCACAGTACTTGAAAATGAAGAGAAGCATAGCTGAAGTAATTTATCAGTGACACATAAGGCAAGGTAGTTCAATGTGGGCCAGGACAGGGGTTAGGAGGAGAGCTCAGGAAAAATTCAAAACAACTTTTTAAGGAATTCAGGGAAGGAAGGGGTCAGCTCGACAGTCCTAAGGAGCTCAGCTTCCTGTGCCATTCAGAGGGAAGCTTCCTCCATTTCTCTATTTGTTCCTGATGATCAGACGTCCCGGGTAGTTAAATCAGTGGGCAGATTCATGAGAAGCTTCATTTTTACTCTGGACACCATCCTGCTGTTCTGCAGGGAGAGGCCACCTCCCCTTTCTGAAAAAATTAGATGGGGGAACTAGAAAATCAAAATCCCAAAAGTAAGCTTCTCTACAGAAAAATGAAATTCAAGCACCTAGGTTTTTAAAGTTTTCTTTTTCTCTTTCTGGGTCCATGTGGTGCTAAAGTTAACATGAATGTGGGGCACCCTGTTGGCTCAGTAGAAAGAACATTCGACTCTTGATCTCAGGGTTGTGGGTTCGAGCCCCATGTGGGGTGTAGAAAATACTTTAAATCTTTAAAACAAAAGATAAAAATGGGGCGCCTGGGTGGCTTAGTCGGTTAAGCGTCCGACTTTCGCTTAGGTCATGATCTCGCGGTTCGTGGGTTCGAGCCCCGCGTCGGGCTCTGTGCTGACTGCCAGCTCAGAGCCTGGAGCCTGTTTCAGTCTGTGACTCCCTGTCTCTCTGACCCTCCCCTGCTCACGCTGTCTCTCTCTCTCTGTCTCCTAGAAATAAATAAAAAATATTTAAAAAAAAAAAAAGATAAAAATAAAGTTAACCTCAATGTTTCAGTGACAGAAAGGACCAGGAGCGAACGAAGGGAAACTGCTCTGCGGCTGGTACTGATGAATAAAAAGTGCCGTGTCACGCTTGTAACAAACAGCATTTGTTATTTGCGCTATGTCGTGCCTCTTCCGATCACACTTCAGTTCGAATCATCTTTTTGGGATATAACAATCTCAAAGGCTGGAAATGACCATGTCCAAATCTTATGGTACATGGCACGGGGTACAGGACTTCCACTTCTCAGAGGTCCACATGATTTGCAGAGATAAGAGGCTAAGTTCAAGCCAACCAGTTACCAATCACTTCTCATTTAAAAACTATAAATTTGCATATGTATTTCCAGGTTAAATCTGATCAAGGGTCCTAGACTGGGTGATGGGACAGGTGAAGTCACGCAAGGGCTGCTCAACTGTGCCACCTAAAGATATCATCAATAGTCCTCAACTTTCTTTCCTTCATAGGCTGCCTTTGATCGAAGTTGTTTCTGGGGCACCTGGGTAGCTCAGTCAATGAAGCGTCCAACTTCAGCTCAGGTCATGATATTGCTGTTCGTCCGTCAGAGCCCCGGGCTCTGTGCTGTCAGACTGTCAGCACAGAGCCTGTTTTGGATCCTCCGAACTCCTCTCTCTGCCCCTCCCGTTTACATGGGCTCTCTCTCAAAAAAGAGGTAAAACATCAAAACAAATTTAAAACGTTTTTTTCTAGTAACCTAGTAAAATTCTAAATTATCATTAACTGCTTTCAAGAAGCTGTTTTACAAGGGATATAAGAATCATTTTAAGGAAGTTGTTTCTAATGAAGCAACAGGATTCTCTTCAACAACCAAGGTTTTTCAGGGACTCCTAAGACCATGGCCATTTTTTAGTAATCTACTAATTCAGAAAATGGTTATTATTGATTCCATTTCACTGAGCACACACAGAAACACCTGTATATAAAGGCTAGCGGTAGATACGCCAAGCACATTATTCATTTTAGTACCGCTGAAGCTGAATTTTTATCCGAGAACCATCAATAGAGGACATGGAAAGTTTGGGGCTGGGTGGCCTCAGGCAAGGCAAGTCACTGGTAAAGTGGACATCCCCCATTTACTGTGTAAGGACCCCTAGCAAGGGGAAGGATCAGAAATGCCATCAAAGCTACTGCAAGGCCGCCCGAAAAACAAACAACCCAGTGAAGAAATGGGCAGAAGACATGAACAGACACTTCTCCAAAGAGGACATCCAGATGGCCAACAGACACATGAAACGATGCTCAGCATCCCTCCTCATCAGGGAAATACAAATCAAAACCACACTGAGATACCACCTCACACCAGTCAGAGTGGCTAAAATGAGCACATCAGAGAACTCTAGATGCTGGCGAGGATGTGGAGAAACGGGCACCCTCCTACACTGTTGGTGGGAATGTAAACTGGTGCAGCCCCTCTGGAAAACAGTGTGGAGGTTCCTCAGGAAACTAACAATAGAACTCCCCTATGACCCAGCAATAGCACTGCTAGGAATTTACCCAAGGGATACAGAAATGCTGAGGCATAGGAGCACATGGACCCCAATGTTCATAGCAGCACTCTCCACAATAGCTAAAACATGGAAAGAGCCTAAGTGTCCATCAACAGATGAATGGATCAAGAAGATGTGGTTTATCTATACCAAGGAATACTACATGGCAATGAGAAACAATGAAATCTGGCCATGTGTAGCAACATGGATGGACCTTGAGGGTGTTATGCTGAGCGAAATAAGTCAGGCAGAGAAGGACAAATATCATATGTTTGCACGTATAGGAGGATTAGGAGGAACTTGACGGAGGAACAAGGGGGAGAAGAAGGGCGGAAATGGTGGGGGAAAGGGAGAGAGGCAAACCATGAGAGACTCTTGAATGCTGACAAAAACTGAGGACTGATGGATGTGGGGGGGAGGGTGGGATGGGCATAGAGGAGGACACTTATGGGGATGAGCACTGAGTGTTATGTGGAAACTAATTTGACAATAAACTATTTGTAAAAAAAAAATTAAAAAAAAGCTACTGCAAGGCACACAACTGATGGAAGATAAATGATAAATAGTATTATAGCTTTATCTTCATGTTTCATCTGACAGCAACTCTAGTCTTTCCTGGATGCTTTATAAAAGAAAGTTTTTTAGGGTGCCTGGCTGGTGCAGTTGGTAGAACATGCAACTCTTGGTCTCAGGGTTGTGAGTTCAAGCCCCATGTTGGGTGCAGAGATTACTTTTAAAAAAATTAAAAAAAACTTTAAGAAAATGAATTAAGTTTGTTGAGTGCTAGAAATTATGTGATTAAGCTGAGTGCTCCTTTAAATACACAGTATAGGTATCTATTAAGCTAATTAATGTTAGGTTACCAACAATATCTACAATTACCAACAGTTTAGTAGACTGTGTGGGTATGTCTTACCTTAAATTTACATAATTGGAATCACAATCTTCTACTTCAGGTTTTCAGGAACCAACCAGGATTTGTCAAGTACCTGCCAAATACTCGGCATCATGAAGACTGCAGTCATACAAATTATTAGGACTGGAGATTAAACATTAGAGTCAAACACTAATAATAAGAATGGGACTATCCTTTCCTGTTACTAATTCATGTGATAGTGAAATAACCAAGCCCTAATGAATGATGTCTCATTAGTAGTGTTAGAAGGCTATCAGTATGCTTTAAAGGTAATTATAAAAATTGTTTATTTCCCTTGTTTAATTAACACAGTCGCTAGAACTTCAATCTCAGTGTTTAATTTTCCCCAACAGTTTAGCTATTTCCAAGAAAAACAATCATTTGAAGACTGGCGTTGCAGATAACAAAATATTATTACCTTGTACTGGCTTCTCTTTACCAGACGGTTTCAGTAAAAACAGAATTCCCAACTGGTCTACCCGGCTGCCACTTCATAGCCATCAATACAGCATAAGTCTTCCTTTTTGCCTCTTGTGATTATCAACTGAGCAACTCACTTCAAAGAAAGAGCAGCAGAAAGAATCCTGAAGAACCACAGAACTCCCCATTAAGTTATACTACATACAATTATTTGCATAGATACACATGACTTTTGTGCTTCTCAAATCCTTTTCTTCAAGAACACCTTAGGATTACAGAGCCAACACTTCTGCTTTAAAAAAAAAAAAAAATTAGTAACTGTAGTCAGGGCAAGAAAAGGAAAACAGTATCTTTATTGTGTGTAGTTCTAACAAACATTCACTGTGTGCACATTCCAGCAGAAAGAGACAAAGATCTTTGTTCAAAATATGCTGAAATAAAATAGGTAAACAAACTCCATTACTGAATACACAAAAAGAATGTTAATATTACTCGTTCACAGTAGAGGGTGAAGTAAAAAAGAAAGAAGTCAAATAATCATCTTTCACTCAACTAGCACACATAGGATACAGGTACAGGAAAAGAACAGCTCCTAAAATTCATGAGTAAGATGCTAGATATTGGGTAGGTAACTCGGGTTCCCAGAACCTTCCTCTGAAATCATCCCCACAAATTCCAAACCAGGCCCTTTCAAAGAATAACAGCCAAATGTGAACTAAACTCCCCATTTGTTTTGTGATATTTGGCAACAGAATGAGATGGCTTAAAAAACAAACAAACAGACAAAAAACAAAAACAGATCTCTTATTGAGACAAGACATGTCTCAATCCACTTCTCCCAGGGAAGGAAGTAATGAACATTAATGTTCTGCAGTTCAATCCCCTAAAATGGAATCTAACCAGATAATCCTGAGACGTGAAGCCTGAGACACTGTGAGTAATGATATGCCTAACCCATAGAACATTTCTCATTGCTCCACGCCGGAACTACATGAATACAGACTCAACAACGCTCTTATCTCACGATGTGTGTGCATTTATGACAGCTGCTGAAAAAACTTTATAGGCTCAAATTATAGGTTCCCATGGATTTTTGTTTCTGCTTCAGGGGTCACATAAGAACTAAACACTATCAATTTTGTCCCCACCACTTTCTTGTCCTTACAAATGTGGAGTCATTTAGAAACCAAAACTGATTCCCGAGGGACAGGGACTAGGAAATTTTGGAGACCTGGCACTGATATCCCTATTTTGGTGGCACACGTTTTCCCTCCTCTCCTTTCATGACCTCCAGCCATTGTGTGTCTTCCCCAGGAATAAACAACCCAGCACCTCGGAGACCAGCTCTAGGGGGCACCCTCAGCCGGCAGGGACTGGCTCCACTTGTTCTCCAGAGGGGTTTACATGACTTACCAATGTGGAGACTGTTTCGAGAATTTGAGTCTACCTCTAAAAACAAGGCTTTCTTGATGGGTTTGGCTAACATACTCTATTGTTTAGAAAAACCTGTGCAAATTCCCACACTAGCTCTACCTTTTGCCTGCCTGTTGATGTAGGCAGCAGAGTAACAGTAAATGGACCCAAAAGTGGTTTTTATAGTACAAAGTGACATCACATTAGCAGTAGATCAAAAGCAGCTCTGGTTGGATGGATTTCATGGATGGTAGAGACAAGTCTAAAAATCTTTTCCTCTGGCTCTGAGAAAAAAAAAGTCCAGATATAAACAGGAAAAGACAACCAATATGAAAGAGAAAAACATACCTTTTGTGTTGGTGTTCACCCTAAAAATATCCAAAATAACCACGCCAACTTTACCTAAGACTGTCACTCTTTAACATTTCTTATAAGCCAGATGTTTTTCACTTAATTTTGTAGACTGCCAACATACTCTTAATTGATCCAAGTTATCTGCTGGCTTAGCTTCAGCCTAAATGTTCCCCTTCCAGTTCCTCAATACTCCTTTGTTCTTTATTTCTACCCCAATGTGGCCCATGTAATCATGCAGCTTAATTATTACAGCAATTAGATACCAATTCATATTCAAGGCAACCCTTCCACATGCCTTCAAACGGGAGGAGCACCAACAGTCATACCACTTCCGTTCTGTAATAACCAAAGGTTTTTTTCAATAAATTGTCTAAAAGTGGCATCTTATACAAAGTTCGTAAAGATAAAAGTTTGACTATTCCCGTATTCCTGACGTATAGAAGTCTCTCAAAAATCCCCTGAAATGTCTCCATAATATCATATCCAAGGGTGCAAATACAAGGTGAATATTATTTTTATGAATTCTGAATACACTCAACTGCAGGACTTGGGTTGAGCCTTTTCCTGGTTTGCATGGGCAGACACTGCTTTGCAGGCCACATTCCTGTCCGTGGCAAGCTGTGAGCAGGGAGGAGACAGCAGGGTTCATGGTCCTTCTGAAACCAAGCTGCTCCTTGCTACATAGGACAATGGCCCAGAAGCAGACTGGTAATCCTTAAAAAATCGGAAGAAAAATCACCACAAACAGCTGCTGGCAGAAAACAGCCAGTCCTCAGGTGTTTCCACGGGGGAAAAAAAAGTTAAGTCAAATAAGCCAGAGAAATTCCTGAACCAAGAAGAAACACTAACAAAATTCTAAATAATGACCTACTCTTCAATGAAACACTCATCCAAGGGATAAAACTACTAGCTGTTGTTGTTTTTTATTTTTTCCTCAATGGAAAAACAACAAAACCACAAATTAGAGCCATGAAGGTAAAATAGAGATGAAATGGAAAGCATTCTTTTGTCATGAAGTCCCCATTTCGAATGCCACTGTTCTATGGAACTTATGTTACTGGGGCCAACAAACAGAAGATCAAATATTGGGTCTTTGAGCAAGCTGGAATCTCTTAATTTTATAAAACAGGGAATGAAAAAATTTATTATTCAATACATTTAAAAGCAGCAAAAATCCCTGGTGAAGTTCCACAGTTATAATTATAATTTTGTATTTTACCAATAAAAGGTGGTTAGTTGGGGGGGAAAGAAAAGAAAAGGGATGGCTAGAAACTGGTGTCAAACCAAAGTAAAGAATGAAGCCTTTGGAAAAAAAAAAAATGAAGTCTTTGGTGCTTTTCCTAAACTCTTGTCCTAAAGTAGTGTTTTCAGTATTTTCCAGAAGAGGACTATGAAATCACCCTATCACCCCAATTCATCCCTTCCCTCCCCTCTTTCTCTCCACTCCCAAGAAATACAAGAGAAGCACAGTTCTGTCCAGCACCACTCGGTGGACTTGGGGGTGGGGGTGGGGGTGGGGGTTGGTGACAAGAGTTACCTGCTACGGTAGGTCAGGAGGGAGGAAAGGATTTCATGGTTCTTCTGGTTTTAATAAATATAAACAAGGAACAAGATCATTTGGCAGTTGTGTTTTATGCCATAGGTGTGCAACAACTTTACTTCATCAATTAAATCCCTTATAAATAATAGATTCAAGTCAGAACAAAAAACATACATACATATATATATACATATAACACATATATATATATACATATATATGTTTTTTTTTCTTTTACTTCAAAGAAAAATGGAAAAAGAAAAGCTTCAAAACCAGAGTGTGTTGCCCTGTTAAGAATGTCTTAACGTGCATTCAAAATATTGGAAACCAGGCATTTTTATCAAAGAACAATGTCCCAAGGACATGTGGATTGTAATTATAAAACCAAGTCTGGAAAGGTAAAGGGGGCTGGCGGAGGCCAGCGGAGAGAAGGGCCACTGGCAGGGACACAGGACAACGGGCAGGTGCTTTGGGAATAAGGCTCTGGGAGATGAAGGACACTGGCCCCAGGTCTGGGGTGGATGTCTGGCCAACCATCTGGGTTCCGAGGGGGAAGCACACACACCCGGCAGGATTCGAGAAGAGGGCATCGCTTGGCCTCCAAACAAGTCTCTAGCTCGCACTCCCAATGGATATGCTTTCCGACTTCCACGCGGTCTCCTCAGGAGGATTTGCTCTCCGATGTGTAGTAACGATACAGGAAACCTAAGACAATAGCGCCTACGATGGGCAAAATCCAGTATGTCCAGCAACTAGAAGTGAGGGGAAAGCAATGACGCCATGAACACCTGATACCAAATATTTGCTATCTTTCAACATCCACATTTTAATATTTTCATGAGCAAAGAATCTCGATTTACTTTGGGAAACTTAACTACTTTTTTTTTTTCTTCTTCCAAGATTTTATTTAAATTCTAGTTAGTTAACATATATGTAATACAGATTTCAGGAGTATTGTAAATATAGTACGATTCATCACTAACATAAAACACCCAGTGCTCATCACAAGTGCCCTCCTTAATCCCCATCACTCATTCAGACCATTCCTCCACCCGCCTCCATCCATCAACCCACAGTTTGTTCTCTATCATTAAGAGTCTCTTATGGTTTGCTTCTCTGTTTTTATCTTATTTAATTTTTCCTTGCTTTCCCTATGTTCATGTTTTGTTTTTAAAATTCCACATATGAGAGAAATCATATGGTATGTGTCTTTCTCTGAAGCTTAACTGCTTTTATCGTCCAAGCAGTGGGGAAAAAATAAAAATTTACATTGGCATGACAATATTAAACAATTTTTAAAAGATAAAAACCAAATGTGTAGTATGATACTAAAAACATACACCCCTATACACGCCTCTATGTGTGTTTTTACGAAGACACATAGCAGTTATTTCTTGGTTCAGATAAGGGATGGGTTAAATTTTTCTTCTTTGGGGGCACCTAAGTAGCTCAGTCAGCTAAGCATCTGACTCTTGGTGGGCTCAGATCTCACACTTTGTGAGATCGAGTCCTACATCAGGCTCTATGCTGACAGTGCAAAGCCTGCTTGGGATTCTCCTTCTGTCTCTCTGTCTCTGTCTCTCTCTCTCTGCCCCTCCTCTGCTCGCGCTCTCTCTCTTTCTCAAAATAAATAAATAAAAACTTTTAAAAAATCTTTTTTGTATTTTTTTACATATTCTACAATTAGCACTTTTAAACAGGGAAAAAGCCACCATTCTATGTATGTAAGTATAAATTTACAAGTAATACCATCTAATACAACTATTGGCAAAATTCTATCCGTCTCATCTGTATTTTCTACATTTAATCCTGATGACAGCCTTATGAAATAGATACTATTACTCCCATTGGATATGTAGGAAATAACAAGCTTTGCACCCAAAACCATGAAGCAAAGTTAGTGATGGATTCCTGATTCCAATCAATGCACTTAATCTTTAGGTAAGTCTGTACACTAATAAAGATACACTCCCACACTGAACATACTGAAAACTTAAATGACAGTTGGCTTGAGAAGGCCTGTAAGAGACTTTTCTTAGGATTTCAGGACAGTCGTCACTCTTAAAATAATTCTTCTCTAATACAGCTTACTGACACTCTTAGTTTTAAGGTGTAATTCTTCCATGATCCAAATGACCTACATGCCCCTCTACTAAGACATATGCAGCCTTGGTATTAAAAGGCTTTTAAGTCAATAAAACCAGCTGAGGTTCAATAATAAAATGCCTTCTCCTTGCCTAAACTTGCCTAGAGCTTTGTACACTTCAGTATGGCAGAGAGCTGCTCCAGAGAAGTTTAGAATGTCAGCCAAGTAGCTTTGCGTAGAAACAGAAAAGCGAGCAAGCTGGCATGTACACCACTATATGGCACATGGGAACTCTGAAGTCCTGTCCCCATAAAGGTAATCAATTCAGATAGCTTGGAGAACAACCACAGTTTCAAAGTAGGGTCCTTGAGAAAACAATGAAGAGACATTCCTCAGTACAAAGGCTGAGAATGGCTGACCGCCAATCCCCATATGATCCTTTGTAATACTTAACTGTCACCGGCATAGAGGCAGAAGAAATGGATTTATGCTGAACCAAAAGAGTTCAACATTAACGTCTTAGCCGTAAGACAGAACTCTCTTCTGGAGACTCGTTCAGGTTACTACATGTAGTTGTGACTCATTTCTTTTTATTACTCTGTAGTATTCCACTTTATAATACACCAGAATGGATTCATTCACTTTATTAAGGAATGGTTATTTGGGTTGCTTCCAGTATACTTTTAACTTGAATAATGAATGCCCTTATGAACATTCTAGTATGTGTTTCCTGGTTTACTTGTGCACACATTTCTCTCGAGTATATCCTTAGATATGGAATTGCTGGGTCAAAAGCTATTCATATTGGCAAATTTACTAGATAATGCCAAATTCTTTTCCAAAGTAACTCTACCCATGTACACTCTCCTAAGAGGGTTTAAGAACTTGGTGATCCACTTCCTCAACAGCTCCTCTTATTTGTAGAATTCTCAATTTTTGCCAATCTGGTAGCTGTGAAATATACCTTATGATTTTAATTTGTATCTGATAACAAGTGATATTAAACCTTTTTTTTGTTCATGTATCTATAATTGTTTCCTCTTCTGTAAGGTGCTTGTTTAAGCATTTTTCTGATATTCTACTACATTATTTTTTAATTGATTTGTAGGAATTCCTTATGCATTCTGCATAATAATTCTTAATGCGTGCTGTGTGTAGCCCAAGTCTATTGCAAGTTTATGGCTTGTGTTTTCAGATTCTTTACAGAAAGTAGTTGGGTAAGCATAAGACCTTAATATTAAAGAAAATAAATTTACTAAGAGTTTCCTTTAAGTTTAAATTTTTTACATTCTTTGTCCATCACCTCAAATATAAAAAAGAAGCAATACTTTTACGGGGGAAAACCACATTTTCAACCTCTCTCTGAAATGCTTTAAGTGGGAGCTCAGAAAGATGAAACAGATCTATATAATCTCTATAAAGATTTTTTTACAAGCCAAGGATTCCAGAGTCATTTCAAGTGCATTTAAGGGATGGCAAATGCATACCTTTCAGAGCTCATACTATTATATTACTAAAATGACCACAAGGGATATTCCTAAGTAAACCTTTGAAAGAAACCAAATTCCTGAATACGCATGCAATACATAATTTTTTTTCTTCTATAACATGCAGTCATAGCACCCACCTTACAGAGCAGTTGTGGGGATTAAATGTGATTAAGTTTCAAGTGGAAGTTGCGTAGCTGGGCTGAGTGGCACAGACCGTTGGCGTGTCTTAACAGCAGTTACTTGTCCTTGCACATTGGCCTCTCACCGAATATGATCCCAGTTTATGTCACAACATGATTTAAAAATTACTCAAGGCACAAACTTTTGAGATTACTCAAAATGACAGAAACTGTAAAAATTAATTTTGCTAAGGGTAAGGAGCTACTGAATTTGCAGTAATTTTGGCCAAAAAATAATTAGTTGTTAACTGTCCTCTTTTTCTTAATTGAAATATAGTTAACATGTACTTGAAACAGAGTTACATGCTATTACATTAGTTTCAGATGTACAATACAGTGACTCAACCAGTCTATACTTCCATGATGCTCACCACAGTGTGGCTGCCCTCTGTTACCATACAAGGCTTTTGCAACACCTCTGGACTCTCTTCCTTGTACTGCAGGTACCTTTTATTCCCAAGTCAAACTGTACTCCTAAGTTATCTTATACATGTATGTTTATGGAAGAACCTCTGGCCAGACATTGTGATGAGCATAAGGAAGTCCACTGAATGTATACTAACCTTTTGCACGTGGGATCTTTCGAAGGTTCCTGAAGAAGACACATATTCAAAAATTTCAAACAAAAAGAAAGATTAATACAGTATGCAAATCTTCTTGAATATCCATACACAGAACTTCATCTTTTATGCAATTTGACATTTACAAATCTAATGCGATGGGAGCACCAAGAATGCTATTTCTGGTAACATTCTGGTCCTCTCTAGTGAAGAATAACTAATGAAAGCATGGAGAAATGGCCTAAATGTTTTTAGATATTAAAAAAAAAAAAAGCTACTGATACTAACTATACTGAAAGGGACTAATTGCAGTCACAATGATATGCCTAGTTCAGCTGGGCTTGCCACTGGCAGTAGCTAGAATCACATTTTCTGAACACATTTTAAAAAAATACAAACTCTTGTGACAAATAGGTCAACTGTGAAATGTTCTAGAGCAAGCCGATGATTGCTTTGTGGCTTACAGAAATGAACTGGTTTACTCTATGAAATCATATTAATTACGACTACAGACCTTAGGGCTTATTCAACAATGAAATGGGAAGAATGGAATTAAGGGGATGGAAATACCAAAATAATCTTAAAAACAAAATTTTGGCAATAAAAGTGAAGTACTGACACATGCTTCAACAGGATAAACCTAGAAAACATTATATGCTAAGTGAAAGAAGCTGGATATAAAATATAACATATTGGAGCACCTGCGTAGCTAAGCTGGTTAAGAGTCTAACACCTTAGGTCTTGATCTCAGGGTTGTGAGTTCAAGCCCCTCACTGGGCTCCACACTCAGCATGGAGCCTACTTAAAAAATAAAACAAACGGGGCACCTGGGTGGCTCAGTTGGTTAAGCATCCGACTTCAGCTCAGGTCATGATCTCGTGGTTTGTGGGTTCAAGCCCTGTGTTGCACTCTGTGCTGATGGCTCAGAGCCTGGAGCCTGCTTCAGATTCTGGGTCTCCTTCCCTCTCTGCCCCTCCCCCACTCACACCTGTCTCACTCTCTCCAAAACAAATAAACATTAAAAATAAATAAAACAAAAACCACACAACATATTATATAAAGATTACATAAGAGTATTTATATGAAAGCCTCAGCATAGGCAAATCTAGGGGCAGAAAGTAGATCTGTAGTTTCCTAGAGCTGGGGGGAAGAGGAGTTAAAGGGAAATGGAAATGACTGATAATGGGCATGGGGTTTCTTTCGGGAGTGATGAACATTTTCCAAAATTACTGTAATTATGGTTACATAGCTCTATGAACATACTAAAAACCCAACTTGTACATCTTAAATAGGTGAACCGGATGGTACATTAATTATATCTTTTAAAGGTGTTATTAAGTTACTTTCATTTAAATAAACATCAAATGAAGTTACTGATTCCATTAATTAGCTGTATATACAACAGGCCTGCTAACTTACTGCCAGAGGACAAACCCATCTGCATAGGTCACTGCTGCCCAAGATATCCTTTTTGCCAATATGTACAAGTATGCTAGGGTATGAACACAGAATATTAACTGTGTTTAACCACAATTTTCAGTAATTTCCAAGAATTTCCAAAAACCCTACATACTGGCCTAGATACTTTAGAGCAGACCAGGAAATGTATTTTAGCTTCATGTATCCAAAACACTGCCATGCAAATGAATACATGCCCCAAACCCGAAAGAAATTAGCCTACAGGCAAGTTAAACTTCTAATAAAAAGTGTCAGATAAACTACGTTAATATACTACTACACTTCTTTGAGAACTTGATGATTATCATTATCTGGGACATTTCTACTAGAATATTATGAATCAGGTTAAGTAAAACATGTTACAAGTCAGTCTTTGAGAAAATTCAACAAATGTCTTACAGGTTTGGAAGGAAGCGATTTCAGTAGTAATGGGAGAGTGTGTACTAGATTCATTTACAATGTTGCCTTTTAAAAGATTCCATTACAGTAGCCATGAAATAACTGAATTCCATGAGAAAAATGTCCATGGTCTTTTATGCTTTATCCACATACATACAATGATTTGCAGAACAAAAATATATGGTTAGTATTTTAAAAAAAAAAACCTGGGACCATATCAAATGTTCTTACAGGAGAGCATTATGGAGAAATGTACCTGTTACGTTCAATCTGTCATCATAGTAAAAGCCATATAGTTCACATAAATGGATTCTCTAAATTTCAAACCTCTAGGATCTTTTACAACTAAAGCCTGGCATGTATGCTAAGCGGAGTGAGTCTCTAACACTTAGTGCAGGAATCAACTGAGAAAAGAAAGAGGGAAAGGCCAGAGAGAAGGAAGACCATAACATGCCCCTACTGTAACAGTTTCTAATAAGCAATAAGAAACTTTAAACATACTTTTTGTTTTTTAAACTAAGTACCTCAACTCCTGTTTTAAGATCATTCCATCCCTGGAGGCAAAAAGACCAACATCCCTACCACTGGAGGAAAGCGAAGAGAAAGAAGTGTACCTTCTCTTTGGGATTCTGACAGCCAAGTAAATGTCAAACTACAGTGACTCCGCTTTTAATCAACTACAATGAAAGAGCTGTTTAAGGCACTGCTCTTAGAAGCCAAGTACCTCAGCCAAGTTTGGAAAGAAGCCAAGTAAGTTATTTTTAATTTAACAAAATTAAAAAGAAAAGGTTCTGTTAACACAAAACCTTCCTTCACCCTCATGTCACCATTCTCTCATGCTGTTTCCCAATTCCCATTTCTACTCCAAAGCTTGGTGCTAAATCTAACGGATGCTTAAATGAGATCCCCACGGTTTATGATGGACTTTAACTTCTTCCTTTGTGTGTTCAGGCATATCTGGCTGATTATGTTCTTGCCCACATTTTAAATTACATGCAAGATTCTTGGTCAGGAGAACAGAGACTGCTCAGTCTTTGGCATGGAAAGCTATAATTGCAATACTCTGTGATTTTAGTTGTAAAAGAGTAGATCGAATCCAGAGTTCTTCTACCAAAAGCCTTACCAAGTTATTAATATGCATGTTTCTGGAATACACTTCCAAACCACTAAATTATTTTAAGTCTACTCTGATTTTAGTTCAAATTAACAGAAAAGAACTGTTTAAATAAACTGGTTCCTAAATGTCAAGGTTCATTAAGGCTTTAATCCCATAAACAAACAAACTAACTAAACAAAGACTCTGTAGGATAAAAGGGAATTATTTCATGATATCTGAGTGGCCTTTTAATAAAGCTGCTCATAACTGAAATTGTCTACTGCCTTCAAGTTCAATGGTAACTCAGTTTCCTCATTGAATGAATGGCTTGGGGTGCCTGGGTGGCTCCGCTGGCTAAGCGGCTGACTTCGGCTCAGGTCACGATCTCATGGTTCATGAGTTCGAGCCCCGCATCAGACTCTGTGTTGACAGCTCAGAGCCTGGAGCCTACTTCGGATTCTGTGTCTCCCTCTCTCTCTGACCTTCCCCCATTCATGCTCTGTTTTTCTCTGTCTCAATAAAACATAAAAATTTTTAAATAAATAAATAAAATGAAAGGCTTGGACCAGATAAATTTTCATTTTAAAGCCATATTTAATTGACTTAACACAATTTTCTGACCCCAAGGGTATTTTAGCAAAATCTACAATAGCAGAAGAAGGGTGATGGGCATGGAGGAGGGCATTTGTTGGGATGAGCACTGGGTGTTATATGGAAACCAACCTGACAATAAACTATGAAAGAAAAAAATATTGCAGAAGAAAAAAAAAAAAAACTACACTAGCAGCCTTCTAAAGGTTAGAGAGAAGGAGGGGGGCCTGGTTGGCTCAGTCGGTTAAGCATCCAATTTTGGTTCAGGTCATGATCTCGCGGTTGGTGGGTTCAAGCCCCACATCAGATTCTGTGCTGGCAGCTCAGAACCTGGAGCCTGCTTCGGATTCTGTGTCTCCCTCTCTCTCTGCTCCTCCCCGGCTCATTTTCTGTCTCTCTCTGTCTCAAAAATAAATAAACGATGAAAAAAAATTTTTTTAATAAAAAATTAAAAAAAATAAAGGTTAGAGAGAAGGAAACACTATTCTCCCATGTCTGGAAAGACTGACAGAACATGGCCCACATGTAGACTTTTCTTACCTTATACCAGGTATATACATTCTTCTAGACTCTCTTCCAAGAGACACTGTGCCCTAAGTATGGACTCTTTTTGATATGGTTAAGAGAATGACTAAGAAATGTCAGAATTGGCAAATATGCGGGAAAGGATTTATTTGGGGGTCAGTGGGCGTGGTTTTACTATGAAAACTATTCATGAAACAAGAGACAACAAATGCTTAAGGAGCATAAGCACTGTCACCAAACATAAACATTGGAAAAAATATTAGGATTAGGATGCATTAAAAGACAGAGATAGGGCATTTATAAAATGTACCTTCAACCTTAATAGTTCATATTCAGACTTTAAATGGAAGGGAAATCTATTGCAAGGTATATAAGGAGCTTGTTTTAATTCCTAAACTGGATGCTTACTATTCCAAGAGGATTCCAAATATTTAAAATTGGAAAAAGTGGATTTTAAGCCACGTGGCACCTTTGGTAAAACTAATGAGTATTTGGGCGGTTGAATACAGCTTTTTAATTAGAACACTGTGATAGCTATGTAGCCAGCAACTTATGAAAAATAATTTTGGAACTTTTGGCCACAATATGAATTTTAGGGTTTGTTTCTTAAAACCCAAAAAGTTTACTGAAATACAGGATTTCAACATTTTATAGTCCCTCCGATGGCCATGTGTGGATCTTGAGGACAGCCTTCTCAAGAAGCTCCAATGTATTAACAATTATGGTCTTGGAAAGTATGTGCCATCCCTAGAGGCAGTCCAGTCAAGTAAAAAAATATTTTCCTGCATACAAGGGCAAGATTCAAAGATGAAAAACACCCTTTAGACAAATTTTTGTAAGACTCTCTCAAGAACCCAGTCTGATAACACAGATAAGACCTTCATAGAGTAATTTCTACTGGGACCAAAGAAGTGGAAAACTTGTTATAACACTAGAGGGCTGATGTGAAAAAAATGTTACCTTGTCCTCCTAACACCTTCTCTTGCAAAGCTACACGTTATTTCTAAATAAAGTGTCATGAAGAGAAGACATTAATCCTAGAGATGCCTCACCAATGGGTATTTTTGCCTTTCAAGAGGGACTTTGCCATTACATTCTATGCTTTATTTCAAAATAATATGTTACAAAAAAGAAATGTTAGACAAAATCGGAACAATGAAACAACCATACAAAATTATTTGGTAAAGAGCAATCACTACTCATCTAAAGGGCATTTGCATAACCATTCCAAACTTTAACAAACTAGGTTGTAGGTATGACAGGAATATTAAACAATTCTTACAAAGAAATTTTTGGTATGATGCAACCAAGTAACTACATTACATAATTATAAACAATGTATTCTTTTTCAGATTCTCCTCTATAAAAGAGAACATAAACTGAATGCTATATGCAAGTAATAGAAACCTGCTGTGTAACAAACGTCAGTAGCATCAGGAAGAAAAAAATATATTTGCCTTTAAATGCAACTTAATAGATTGCTTCTAACATAAAAGTTAAACTTCCTAAGTTAAAAAATGAAGTTCTAGGGCGCCTGAGTCGCTCAGTTGGTTAAGTGTCCAACTTCAGCTCAGATCATGATCTCATGGTTTGTGGGTTCGAGCCCTGCGTTGGGCTCTGTGCTGCCAGCTCAGAGCCTGAAGTCTGCTTCGGATTCTGTGTCTCCCTCTCTCTCTGCCCTTACCCCGCTAGTGTTCTGTCTCTCTGTTTCTCAAAAATGAATAAAAATGTTTAAAAAAATGAAGTTTAAATAACACAGTAAGCCTTTATGGAGACAATATTATTTGTTTAAAAAAATCCATCAAATCCTGTTACAGCAAGTGCCATCTTATTAAAATTTTTGTCCATGGAATCCCAATAAGAAAAAATCAATGACAATAAACTTTTTATTTTTAAAGGAAGGAATGATTTGGTCTGCCTATCAACTGATCAATCAATGGATGGATCAGTCTGTTCATCCATTTATACTTATGAATGCATTGAGTCTCTTTGGAAGAGTAAACAAGAAAATGGTAGCTGGCTACCTCTGGGGAAGGGATATGGGAGACTGAGAGCTGGAGATGGGAGTCACTTTTTATATATACATACATAATGTATATGTAAAAAGTATACCTTTTTGCACTATTTCAATTTTTTACTATGTACCATCATGTACCACCCATTCAACAATTTAAAAGGAAAATGGTCTGGGTATTGAATCTATTTACTTCAGTGATATTTCAAGCAGCTGAACTGTCACCCAGATAACATCTATTGAATACATGAAGGAAACGGTACTGACTTCTTTTGTCAGGTTAGCATTCATGTGTACCTCATCTCCTGAACTGGTGGCAGATCAAAGAGCTAACCCACCAGTGAACACATAATCCAAAGAGAGATGTGACCAACCACAGATGTGCCTCAGTTACTTGCAGCGCAGGAAACAGGCAGGCCAGACGGCATAGAAAACTCAATGCGCTTCTAAGGTGAGTTTCCATAACCCAAAGCAGACCACACAACGTTGATTCAAGGAGAACTAGAAGATGGATGGGTTGTAGCATGGGGGCTAATCCAGGGAGGAAGAGATTCACAGAGACAGAAAGGTTTTTAAGTCTGGTTTGTTATCTGAAGGCTGAAGCAGGGGAGAAAAACATCTGTTGCCAGATGTGTAGATTTTAAGCTTTTACATTTTAGTGTTGCACCATTTCAGGGCCGTGGACCTCTGGCATTATCAATGTAACAAGGAAACAATGGTAAGCATCAATTATTTACCTATGTTGTAGCAAAAGCGGTATGCAAGGCACTTTCCAAAAAACTGAAGAGAAAGATTCCTGATTTAGATTCTGTAACAATACATTCTGGGTGGCTCTTTTTTTTAAATTTTGCTGAGGGAGAGGTTGGAGGTGGTAGTTTCAGGCAGGAAAGAGATGGGAGGCTTTCAGGGGAGAAGAGAAATAGAAAAATGAAGGAAAGGAAAAGAAAGAGAAAGGAAATGAAACCTTCGTCTCCTAAGGGAGAAGTCAGCTTTTAATTAGGCTTTAAAAAAAAGATCACTTCTTTGTAGAGGTTCAGGAACCCTTAACCAAAAGAAAGGATTAATGAAATGAATTGTACAACCTTTTCTTCATGGTGAGTGCAAAAAAATTAAGAAATGAGACACCTACATCTTAGACAGAGAAGTGCCTATTTAAAGTCTCCGTACGAAATAAATCTGAGGGCCTAGGAATGTCTTTCTGGAACTGAAATCAGGTTGGACTGTAGCTCTATAAAAAAATCTATGTGTGGTCTTGCAATTTTCCCCAAAGGTTTTCCCTTGCTTGATCTGCCTAAAGTACAGCAGTTGTTACTGAAAACACTGAATAACCAACTCTCTACTTAATGGAGACTGTCCTTTGGGTACAACAGACATAACGAAAAACAGAGCTTTGAAAATACTGCCTTTAGTCACTGTTTATACGAGGCAGGGGCCAAACTACATTTGGAAACTTCTAAATTATTATAGAATTCAGTGAGCTGAAAGGATTTCTTTTTCTGTGTTTCTTACCAAAAAGTCCACAGCTCAACAGTTTTAATTTAGCTGAGACATCTCTAATTAATTCTTTGGCCTACACAAGGTAGACAGTGCTTTCTAGAAAAGAAAATTCAAGTTCCCAAAGTTTTCAAATGAAAAGATGGGCATATCTTTAAGCAAGAAGTCTGGTGCCTGGCTACCTGGTTACTTTAAGTGCCAACTCCCAAGTCCCACCTCTAGAGATTATGTATCAGTAGTAGCGGGAGCCCAGGAAATAGACATTTCAGAAACATGCCCAGGGACTCAAATACAGATGGCCCAAGGGACAGAATATGAAAAACACCGCTCTCAACTGGGAAGAATGGTCCTCATCACATACTGAACTACCAAGGAAGAAAAACAGCAACAAGAAGCAATTTGGAGACTTTCAGACATTATATACAAAATTTTTTCTATTGTTTTAATAAAGGGTGTGCTTATGACTCTTGTGTGAATGTGGGTGACGGCTCCTAGATACATGGTGCATTTCTTACCCAAATGGGAATATCTCTTGAATTAAATGTTTACTGTACTTGAGACCAATGTTTTCCAGACATGTTCAAGATACTCAGCAAGGCCACATGCAGCTCCAACTTTACCTTCATTATGAAGGAAAGACAAACCGACCACCAGTGCTCACATGGCATTTAAAAACCATTTTCATCCCCCTTCATAAGCAACTCAGCAGTTCAGAGTGGCAGCATGCAGCAAGACTGAAGAGTCAATTTCCACAAACACTCTGGATCGCAGAGCAACAGATGGCAGACACTGTCAAGCAGTCTCTTGAGGTGAAAGAATTCTTGTGTCTAGGCCAACTTTAACTGCTGTATCAAACGTGTCCAGAAATTCCAGCTCAGGGAGGAAAGGGAAGCAAAAAGCTAGCAAGAGGAAAGGCGGGAGGGGCGCTGCCTCCATGATGTTCTACGCAGCAACTAAACTGCTGTCCCTTTAAGTGGGAGGGTGCTGGACAGAAGTCCATAAATGTGTGACGCCGCCGTCAAGGAAATGAACAGCCCTGCTTGTGGAAAGCAACATGCCTTCCAGATTTTGTTGCTGGTAGGTTATGCAGTGCACATTAAGGTTTTCAACTATTTAATCTTTTGTTTTTGCTGCATCCCTGAGTAAATGAAATGGGTATAGGCCTATTTGAGCCTGTATGATACAAGGATTAAATCTGGATAATAGAGGCACAAAGGCCCATTCTAGTAATTACTCCAGTCTAACTCCTTCAAAGGCTTTTAAGTGAAAATCAGTGTTCCAGTGATTTTCCCAACAAAGAATTATTCTCACCTGCAGTATGTAATGTAAGAATAAGAAATACTTTTCTACAACTGAACCCATAAACTAATTCTTTCAAAACCATACAGGCCATGGCTTTAGAATTTCTTTTCTTTTCTTTTCTTTTTTTTTAAAGCAAATACAAGCATCAACAAAATGTTTCCTACTGTTCAAGACTCAGCTATTCTTTTTTCCTGAGATGGCACTGCGTCCAAATTCCTGAAAAATAGGTTTGCTTGGGAAAAAAGTGAACATTTCCCTTGTTAATTTTTTTATAAAACCATTCTATTTGAGTGAACACTTGAAACACACAAGAGAAACAGATGATTTCTTCTTACCTTGCTACCACTTTCAGGTTTAAGGTCATTCTGTTAAAAAAGGATAACAAATAATATTTTAAGACATATCCAAAGGCGTATCTCACAACATGCTTGTCTCTACCCTTAGAACATGAAGACTACATTCCAGTAGTAGAGAATTCTGAGAGAATTCTGTGGAAGGGTTATTTGCCCCCACACCCCCAACTCTGAACCTACCAGGGTGCCTTGTTTGAATGTTCATAGTTACCACCTTTAGCAAGAAATTTCCAAGAACAACCAAACCATTATTGTAGGTTGAGATGTTATGAATGGTATTACAAAAATCAATTTTAAAAAAATCCAAAACCAGTTCTCTTAACTTTTCAGATCCTACATGTGTTGCTTTACATACAAGAAGCTGTATCTTAGCGCAATAGGCCAAATGGTTTGGGAAAATACATAGCCTGATGGCTGGGTTGAAGGACTTTCCTTTTATTAATTCATTCCCCCTCTTCCTGCTCTGTGGCTAGTCAGCAGCTTCCTCCCCGAGCTCAGTTGGTTCTTACCGGATGCACATCACCGATATAGTACTGCTTGAGCATTTCCCTGGCATCAGAGGAGTGGCCTACGTCTTCAAAACTTTCACTTGCATCTGCACCAGCTTGTTCCATTAGAACCTCTTCTCCCCCAGGATGCTACAAGGAAAAGATACTTGCTGAATGGAGGGCCATCAGAAAAGCAAGCTAATAGAAGTTACTTTCCCCTCTTTTCTTCCCTTAATGGGAGTAATGGGACAAATCAACATTGAATGCCACCTGATAGGATGCGGTGGGACAAACACAACATAACTTCTGTGATATTCATACCAAAAGTATCTAAAACTGGTCTAATTGTGAGGAAACCTAGGATAATAGCAAATTGAGAGATAGTCTACAAAATGAGCTGCCTGTCTTCACTCAAAATAACAAGGTCACAAAAGCTAAGAAGACTAAAGGGCAGTTCTGGACTGAAGGAGGCCAGCATGACAGCACAAGCAGGAACAACATGTACTCTCGGCTGGATTCTTTTTGCCAATATTATCCAGACGGCTGCAGAAACCCGGATGGAGACCCTGGTCAAAGGGAACATGGAATTCTTTATTCTATTCTTGCAACTTTCTGTACGTTTCAAATGGTTTCAAAACAAAAAGTTAAGAACGGCTAGGTGGCTCAGTCAGTTGAGCATCCGAATCTTGATTTCAGCTTAGGTTATGGAATTGAGCCCCAAGCTGGGCTCTGCAGCGAGCATGGAAACTACTTAAGATCTCAATCTCTCAATCTCTCTCTCTCTCTCTTTCTCTCGGTCTCTCCCCCACCTCTTCTCCCCTGCTCACATGCTCTCTCTCTCTCAAATAAACAATTGTTAAAAATTAAAATTATGGGGCACCAGGGTGGCTCAGTCAGTTAATCATCTGACTTCGGCTCAGGTCATGATCTCACAGTTCGTGGGTTCGAGCCCCGCATCAGGCTCTGCGCTGACTGCCAGCTTAGAGCCTGGAGCCTGTTTCAGATTCTGTGTCTCCCTCTCTCTCTGACCCTCCCCTGCTCTCTCTCTCTCTCTCATAATAAAATATTAAAAAAAAATTAAAATTAAGTATTCTTTTAATTTTAAAAATAAAAAAACAAATAATAAAAAGTTCAATAAGTGGCACCAAAATAACTGCCTCTATACCTAGGAGGTAGATTCTATACGTATTGTACTTCCAAGCTATATGATCCTGGACAAGTTACTAAGGAATTGAGATGTATTTGTTTCCTTGTTTATAAAATGGAGATAATATGAGTAGGTATCTTAACTAGTATTGTATCAAATGAGATCAGGATATGAAGCACTTTGTACTCAGAAAGAAAAAGGTACAGTTTATATAATATGCTACCATCTGTGACTCTAAAAAACAGATACATATGTGTACATATATATAAAATCTCTCTGAAAACAGGGGCAACAGACTGGCTCAGTTTGTAGAAAGTCCAACTCTTGATCTCAGGGTTGTGAGCACCAGCCCCATGGTGGGTGTAGAGATTACTTCAAAATAAAAAAATATTAAAGAAAAAAGAAATCTCTCTGAAAACAATGAAAAGAACCTGGGAGCCAGGAGACAAGGTGGAAGGAAGACTTTTCACCGTACACTCTTGAAATTCTTCTACCAAATTAAGTACTACCTGTTGAGAACATTTTTAATATTACATTTAGCACAGTCCCTGACTTAAACATTCTCTAAACATTTACTTACAATGAGCAAATTTAGAATTTACATTATATGACATGTCTAAATTAGTACTTTTAAAATATCAAGTAATGTTTTTAAGTAGTTACTTTTATAACAACCTTTTAAGCAGGAAAAATATCATACTTATTTCTTAGCAGCTGGAGGTATTTCATGAAGTGGTTGAATTTATGAATTTCTGCACAGCTCTTCCTACAGTAACAAAGTCTTTTCACTTCCACGGATCTCTCACCACTTATAAATAAATAAATAAATAAATAAATAAAAGCGCCGCACTTACATAAATATATATAATATACATCCATTGTTTCTCTCCTGTATACTCAATCATTTTAACCACTAAACTACAATTTTTACTGAGTACTTATTTGATACAGTAGGCAGTGATAAAGATGAATTCATCTAGTATATACTGTCTTATAACCTTCTTTCTTTCACTGAGGCAAGGAAGGGTGGAGAGGTCAAAAAAAACCCTACATTTAGTACCTCTCATTCCAAATGTGGTCTTAATACAGATGGTTTAGAACAAGCAAAAGATTTCAGGGAAACTTCCTTACGGTTTTAGAACTCTATAAGCTTCAGATAGTATTTAAAATCAAATGGCAGCCCAGCTGGAGGCAATGCACTAGATCTGAGGTCACAGCACAAGCCAGGCAAGTCCTGAGCCAAGGTAATGCCCAGGCTAAGAGCCTGGCCTGTGACCCTGACCAGGCTGGCTCTCAATAAAGATGGCAGGAGAGGCATCCAGCTGGCTCGGTTGGTAGAGTATGCGGCTCTTGATCTCTGAGTTCAAGCCTCATGTTGGGTGTGGAGATTACTTGAAAATAGTACTGTATAATACCTTTAAAAAAAAAAAAAAAAGATGGCAGGCACCCTGGCTCTGGTGGCTCTGGGCAGCCTGGAGTCTGCTTCAGATTCTGTGTCTCCCTCTCTCTCTCTGCCCCTCCCCAATCACACTCTCTTTTTTTCTCTTTCTCAAAAATAAGTAAATGTTAAAAAAAATTAAAAGACAAATCAGCTTTATAGTAAAACTGGGGAGGTCAGAATAAGATCTGTGATCACCCTCCCTGTGGCCATGAGCCACCACTGTGTGTCCATCCAGCTGCAAAGTGACAAGAAGCTCATCCAGGAGCAAGTATTAAACAGCTGAAGTCCTAATATGAAGAATAATCCTCAGAGAAAATGAAAATTATAACCCCAAATTGACATGAAAATACTACTTCCAACAAACCAGAGTATCAATTTGTCAAAAAAACTAAAGGGAAAATAGTACTACCTTCTCCTATGACTGATCCCACTAGGCTCACAGACATGGTGAAAGGAAATTTAACATCTGTCCTCCCAATGATTCTTAGTGGTGAGTGGATAAACATGCCATGCTTAGGCTTTGTTACAACCAAAGATATATTTCCACTGACCTTGCTTTTTGTTGTTTAAAAAAAATTTTTTTAATGTTTGCTTATTTTTGAGAGAGAGACAGTGTAAGCGGGGGGGGGTGGGGGGTGGGGTGGAGAGTGAGAGTGAGATAGAATCCAAAGCAGGCTCCAGGCTCCCAGCACAGAGCCTGATGCAGGGCTCAAACTCATGAACTGTGAGATCATGACCTAACGTGAAGTCGGACGTTTAACCAACTGAGCCACCCAGGCTCCCTGTCCACTGACCCTGTTTTTGCCTATGCTACAGTAAAGAACTGAACTACTCACATTAGCTGCATCCTGGTGAGTTCTACATCCTGGTGCTTCTACTACGTATTTGGGCTTTAGAGCATTTACTCTCTCATTCTGGGCCAAGATAATGCCAATGACCAATTGAGAATAATGCAGGCACAAATGACTGGAGCAGCCATGGCCAATGCCCAAAGACAGAAACAAAGCTTTCAGAGCAAAGTGGAAAGTTTCGAAGCTCATGGATCACCAGTGGGCACTAGATGATGTCAAAGAGGAGCTCGTGGCCAAAGATCTCCACTTTGAAGGCATGTTCAAAAAAGAATTGTACATCTGTATTTATTGAAGCAGGAATTAGCTCTGTTGGGAACACACTGTAGCCCTTAACCTTGTAAACTGTTTGAGCTGGGGCCTCTCAGAATAAAAAGGAGAACACAATGAGCTAGTGGACGTGCAGCAAGGGTCATTCTTGTCTCAGCCAGGTTTCCCTTTATGTTTGAAACTAGAGGAAATTATTGTATTCTGAGTGACTTACAGGGAAAGAATTATTTTTAAGATGTTTAAAAAAAATCCTTCTGGTGATAACAGAAATGAAAGGCAGAGAAGGGAGAAACTCAAGCTAGTGATACTATATAAAAACTTAGCAAAAATTCAATCTTCGTTAGAAACACTGCCAATTATAATTATTATGTACAATCAGCCTGATATCTAAACCACAGTAAACTCCTGTTTCCTTGAGATCCAAATATCCTGAATTTTTACATCTAATTTATGTGCTAGTATTTTAATAACTTCCTTTACAAAGGTAATAGTTTTCATTAATGAAAACTTAGAAACTATTTATGAACAAAACAAATATCCCTGTATTGTTTGTTCACTGTGAGCCTACTCAATCACATAAAGAGCAAATGTATTACAACTTTACTCAAACAAATTCTTTTTCAGAGTGAATATTCAGGGCAGGGACATACTTAACAAACACTCTATATCTCTTAATACTGTCCAGGGAAAACTGGTGACCCTGACACACTGCTGGATTCTCAAGTGCCTTTAGGAATGATCACGTATAGGTTAAATAATGAGATATTCTTCATGTGGAGTTCAGAATAGATCAAATCAACTGAAAAAAAAAAATCAATGGCTGTGTACTATGATATGGTGACTCAAATGAACTAAAGACCCAGTTACCTGACTCAAAGTTTACATATCATTTTAAGAAGGCAGAGAGGGTAAGTGATACATAGAGAAAGGTTGTCCAGGAATAACTGTCTGGATTCAATGTCCTAGGAAAGTGGCAGGATGTCATTTCTGTATCCAGAGGTAAATGTAATTTGCATGTTGAGTAATATAGTCTAAAGTGAATGACTCTTGACTCTACAAATTAAACCACTTTGTTTTCTCTTTAAAAGACAAATCAGGGGCTCCTGGGTGGCTCAGTCAGTTAAGCATCCAGTTAAGCATCCGACTTTGGCCCAGGTCATGATCTCAAAGTCTGTGAGTTCAAGTAATGCATCGGGTTCTGTGCTGACAACTCAGAGCGTGGAGCCTGCTTCAGATTCTGTGTCTCCATCTCTCTCTCTGCCTCTCCCCAACCTGCACTCTGTCTCTCTGTAAAAAATAAATAAATCTTAAAAAAAAAATTAAAAGACAAATCAGTTGTATAGAAGACTGAGGGGGTCAGAATAAGATCTGTGGACCCAATTAATGTCAATATGTTTGCTAGTTGTTTACAAAATGTTACCACTGGAAAAAATGGGCACAAGGC